GTCAGGGGCAGGCAGCTTACGAAGGCGCCCTCGCCGCCGCCCAGAGGGAAAGCGGGCTGTAGAGCCACTGGCCGGGCGTCGGCGCGGCAGAACTTGGGCGCAAAGCTGAGCACGTCGCCTCCGCTGCCGCCCCCGCATGAAACGTATTCCAGGTAGGAGCTCATGATCCCCCCGCCACCCTCCGGGGGGATGGCGCAGGCCAGGTCCTGTAATACGCACCACCTTCTGCCCCTATCGGTGCTGCCCTCGCCGACCCATGGCGAGCAAGTCGGAGGTAAATACTGGCCTAATATAGCGGTGGGGGCGGCCACGTGGCGCCAGGCAGCCAATGGGCGCCTTCCCCGCACGACTCAGTCCCATCTGGCGCGCTGCTCCACGCGCCTAACCCGCCGGCAACTTGGCCAAAGCGACTGGGAGCCTCCGCCCAGATGGACTTGAGCTGATGCGACCCAGGGAAGACTGGGATGAGCGAGCAGGATGCTCTGTCCTTAGACAGGTATTGCGGGAGGTGAGGGAAAGAGCCAAGATAACTGGCCTCCCTAAGAGCGGGCGAGGGGACTAAGAGATTGTTCTGCATTGTGGGTGGCTAGTTCCTAGACTACGAATTGTGGATGCAAAGTTAGTGCGGTACTTGGCCTCGGGACATTTGCTCCTCAGTCTTCTCTAGGAAAGGCAAAGTTATTCCTCGCCCCCTTTTTCTCTATTTGCTTTGAGTTTTCTTGGCCCTGTTGTCAGACCTGGAGCAGATGTTTAATTTTCCCTCTTTTTACCTTTCTCTTGGCCCATGGTACTAAATATTATGCTGTAGGTCCTGTGTAGCTAGGACAGAGCAATACTTTAGCACGTTTCTAACTAGGTGTTAAGAGTTCCTTCTCAGCATTCCGTTCAGCTGCTTGTAACCCTTTCGGTGGTGACAGCATGGTGAGGGTGAGTATTAGATTGCCAAATTTTTATTTGGACAGAAGATGAAGTTCCTGCCTAGTAGGGAAGTGTAATAGAACATGCATATCCTCTTTTGACTAGGTTGTCAAAATAAGGAGTCAACCCTTTTGGTCAAATGTTTGTTGTGTCCCTCCTGCCCTACCTGAGAAGTTGGCACATGCACTGATGCTGTCCATGCTTGATTCAGAGGCGTTTGGCTCAATGGTGCAAAGACTTCCAGCGCTGGGTCAGATCTCAGACGTTTGGACCGCCTTATGCCTCTAAGCAATTAAAGCTTCTGTTCCATCAGATAAGTGCTGCATCGTCTCTTGCGTCTCTTGCGTCTCTTGCGTCTCTTGCGAGTGAAATCTGAGGGCTCACAATGTTAATGGGCTCACATCTTTCCCTTGATAATAGGGTTTTTGTTCTGTGTGTGTGTGTGTGTGTGTGTGTGTGTGTGTGTGTGTGTGTCTGTGTGTGTTTCACTGAGTGTAGATGGATGGGAAATAAAAGTGCAGTTGGCACAGGAAATGAAAAGTAAAAGAGTTACAGAGACAAGCTTTGTATTAACAAACTTTACAACTTCCTAGAATATTTTTTTTTAAAAATGTTTTGCTCTGTGAAGCTCTAGGAAATTAACAGAACAATAATGTTTACTTACATGTAATAGTAATGAAAGTGTGTTCTCTTAAAACCCTATGAAATGAAGACTCTTAAAGAGTCAGCTCTTATTCAAATGCCCTTGAAAACCTCTTGTATTACAGACTCTGAGAAATGCTAACCGAGGTTTTATTGTTTTTCTGATCTACTTGTCATGCAAGAATGGCTGAGCCCTTGACTAAACTCTTTGAGGAAGTCTGAAAAACACAAACTATCATCAGAACCAGGGTTTTTTTGCAGGTATTTGTACTTGTGAATGAACAAAAGCAGTCCAAAATTGTCAGCTACCTGTGAAGCCAAAGTTGAGCCAAGATGAGAGTATGGGAGACTTAATGGAGACATGGAGCTAAGCCTCAGCTTTAGCGCAAAGCGAAGGGTTCCTGGGATGCTGAAGTTCCTGGATACATTGAGAGATTAAACACTATACTAAAAATAGCCATTCAACCTTGACTTTACTGCTTCAGTTTTGTCTGCTGTCATTTATCAAATGACAAAAGGCCTAAACAATTATTAAAAGGAGAAATACAAATGCTTTTCTCTGGTATATTGTGAAGTAATGTTTTTTCAGAGCTAACACAGGTTTAAAATGTAGATAAATGTCTGGAAACTCATTTATGTGTTGCTAATGCTAAAATATCAACAAATATGATGCAACTGGATTACCTTATCACATTCACTCACTCTGTCCTTCTCTGTCTGTGTCTTTGTGGCATGGCTGGGGCTCTCTCACTCTCTCACTCCCTCCCTTCCTCCTCTCTTAAATGTAATGGTCAGGATTGGGGTTTTTTAACAGTTTGGATGCTCTAGCTCTCAGTTTCATCCCAAAACAAGAAGGACCCTCTCTCAAAAAGCACCTGTCCTATCATAGCTCTTTAGTCCCAAGGCTCTAGGAAGTCAAAAAAGGAAGGCTGGCTGACAATATAAACATATTTGTGGCAAGAGACAGCTAGCTATCTGCAACCTAAGATTTAGAACAGGAAGTCCAGCCTGATTGTCTGGATGTGTTAACCAAAACCTGTCAAATTAAGAGACTTTCTCTAAGGTTTCTGGGGAAATCAGGCAGCCTAAGTGCCTTGGCATTCTTAACAGCAACAATAACCAGATTTTTTCTAAGTATTTGGGCCAAATGGCTGGGTTCCTTTTGACACAATTAATTCTTGACTTGTCCCCAAGTTAATTTGCCCACCCTGTTTCCCTGAGGCAAACTTTTGGTGCTTTGTCCTTTGCTGAGGAAAGAAATCTTCCAAAGAAACAAGGGACTTCTTATTGTTGTTCTTTTGTTTTCATAACTGGAGGTGAGAGTGGATGCATAGTTCAATTTTGTTCAGTCTTTGTTAGCTATTACCCAGTAGTTGCATATAGACCACATTTTCTTTCTTCCTTCTCTCCTGGTATATTCCACCCCTTGGGCCATAGTGTTGTCATCAATACTCCTGAACTGGTTCATTATCTGTTCAGCTTATAAGTCAATACTCTAGTCATTTCAGTTTCAGATTCAACCCACATTTGCCAAGGAAATACTGTGTGAGGATTCTTTGTTAAGATAAGGCTAGGCTAAGAAGGAAAAGTCAATTTTCCAGCCAAAGGAACAAGGGATTCCATTCTGGCACTGGTCTTTCCTATAAGTCAGTGTATTCTAGAAGTGTCTGAATCAATCTTTTTTTTTTTTTCAGGAGAAACTTGAAGATATTCTTGGAGCGGTATTATGGAAAAGTGTGAATATATTTCAAGTAACTTTATAGAGTTGTGGGGGTTTCTTCCCCACAGGATATGGAAAATTTTCTTATAAATTTTATTACTTGCTCAAACCATGAATTCCCCTCAGGTCACACTGGCTGTGCTGGGTCCTGATGCTGTGTTCTCTCTCAGCAGGAGGTGACAGCAGAGGGGCTTGATTGCCAGGTTGTGTTTGATGTAGGAATGCTTTGAAATCTCTCCCATCTTCCTCACCACAGCAGCTACCCACGACCCATTCCCCACCCCACCCCCCATCTCATGATTATCTTTCTCATTCATTCTAATAATAGACTTCTTTTCTGTAGACCGGAAGTGGCAGAGGGTAAAAATCTGGTCTCCTGTATGTTTGAAGTTATTATTTTTAAAACAATTATTTTGTTTATTTAGGTGTGTGTGTGTGTGTGTGTGTGTGTGTGTGTCCAACTGATACAGGAGGAGATTGCCCTTCCTTCTCCAGCAGAGCATCTGGTAGAGTCGAACCATGCACTTTTGGGATTGCAGTACAGCTTCTTGTCACTAGGCCACCAGAGCTCCTGAAGTTATTCTTAATGTGTCACTTTGGACCACTCTCCACAGACACCACCCTGTTACCCTTTGGAACACCTTGAGCATATGCAAACTTTTGACATCACAACTCCAAAGCATAGAATGCTTCTTGCTTGTTGGGAGACGAAGACAGATTTGCAATTCTCTGCAACATCTCCAAACATACCAAAATGAGATTGAGAATAGAAAGGATCCCAGTGACTGGAATTCTGAACCTGTTGGAAACCCAGTTTCCCTAAGGAAAAACCATCTGAGTGTTGTCTTTCTCTGCGAGCTTTATGAATGGAGGACTCATGTGCCAAGTCAGTGCTTAACACACAGTAGGCAACACTGTTATTTCCCTTTTAGTCAGAAAAGAAATGTTGGATGGAATTACACAATGGGCAGGAGAGAGTATCTTCACTGTGACTACTATTGACTAATAGATGTTTTTAGATGATCAAACCACTGTTGTAGATTTGGTTCTGTCTTAGTGACCTTCAAGTACATGTCCAAGACTAGTGGATTTGAACTGATGGCCTTTATGGGTAGACACTATGCAAGTCATCACTGTGGCTTCTGAAACCATTTAATTCAGATTATAATCACCTTGGAAGCTGGATTTAAAATGCAGGTTCTCTGGCCCGCTCCCAGAGATTTTAATCCAACAGACCAGATTCAGGAATTTCCATTCATAACAAGCCTCTTGGGTGATTATTAAGCAAGGTTTTTCAGAACCACATTCTGAGAATTTGTGCTTTAGGAGCTCTGCAGGGGCTGGCCAAGAGTGTATATGAGGGACCCCTGAACTAACACAATGAGAAGTCGTGGCTAACTGGAGCAAAAGTGTACATGAAACTTGTGTAGAAACCTATTGAGTGGTAGATATAGAGAAGTCAGTATCAAAGTCTAGTTATGTCTACTTGGGCTGAAGATCTAGAAAACATCCTTAAGAAGTAGTCCGTAGGATGTCCTCACATTTTGCTGATAATGTGTTCTGCTGAGCATGCTTGCTTCTGGTCCTTGACACCTCTCTAGCTTGGTTTTGATGATGCCAGTTGGTAGAAACTGTAAGGTATTTAATTCTTCAAGTATAGATGTGTCAGAGACCTTAAGATTGGCATGGGACAGAGCAGGTTTTAGGGCTGTTGTGCATAGGATCGGTATGAGTCACAGGCAACTGACGGCACTTAACAACAACAGTCTTCAGACCAAGATTAAAGTAGTTCTGAGACGATAGAACTACTTGGTGGTCTCAAGAGGGAGAAACCAATTCTCTTTTCCTTTCATCTTTCATAAGTTGTCTAGAATGAACTTTGGA